GAACATAAATAAATAAAACTAAAGTTTATAAATGTAAATAAATAAAACTAAAGTTTTAAAATATAAATAAATAAAACTAAAGTTTATAAATATAAATAAATAAAAACTAAAGTTTATAAATGTAAATAAATAAAAACTAAAGTTTATAAATGTAAATAAATAAAACTAAAGTTTATAAATGTAAATAAATAAACTAAAGTTTATAAATGTAAATAAATAAAACTAAAGTTTTTAAATATAAATAAATAAAACTAAAGTTTATAAATGTAAATAAATAAATAAACAAAAGTTTATAAATGTAAATAAATAAAACTAAAGTTTATAAATGTAAATAAATAAACTAAAGTTTATAAATGTAAATAAATAAAACTAAAGTTTATAAATGTAAATAAAGCAGCGGCTCTGATCTTCATGTTTCTGTGTCCAGATGATTCAACCAGAGTGAAGCTGTCCTACCTGGAGGACGACCCCTGCTCCGACTACATCAACGCCAGCTACATCCCTGTACGCACATGCACACACACGTGCACACACACGTGCACACACTCTCTGACCCCAGTACCCTCCGTGTCCACAGGGCAACAACTACCGCAGGGAGTACATCGCCGCTCAGGGCCCGCTGCCCGGCACTAAAGACGACTTCTGGCGGATGGTGTGGGAGCACGGCGTGCACAACGTCGTCATGGTGACGCAGTGCGTGGAGAAAGGACGGGTGAGTTCACGAGCCGAAGATAAAAACTGTTTTTGTTCTCGTAGTTCGGAACCAGCACATCCATAGTCTGAAAAATAAAATAAACTCGTCGGCGACATTATTGTTCGGTTTAATGAAACTTTAATTATTTTAAGATCCTGAATGTTCGTGTGCGAGGAACTCCTCATCTCACGATTCAACAACGAGTCAGAGGCTGCGAATAAAATACATCAATAGAAGGACTTCAGATTACTTGACCAATGATTTATGTAATCTCTGCCTAATCTGCCTAATAAAGAGTTCACAACAGCAGCTGCTGACATGCTAACATGATTAGCATCGTGTTGATCAAACGTTGTTCTGATCCGTTCAGAAGGTACCGACAGACTGATGGGTTTCACCCCCGACCCAAAACAGGTTCCAACTTGAAAAACTGATCTCAGGGGCCAGATTTGGCCCGTGGGCCTTCAGTTTGGCCCCCGTCCTTTAAACCCACCAGAACCAACGACACGAAGCAGAAAACTTTCCAAACGGAGCTGGAAGTTTTCCTCCCAGGTTCTGACGGGTCAAACGGACCTGAAGTAGCTGCATGTTGTCTTCCAGGTGAAGTGTGATCAGTACTGGCCCGCAGACAAAGAGCCGCTGTACTACGGAGACCTGGTCCTCCAGATGCTGTCAGAGTCCGTCCTGCCGGAGTGGACCATCAGAGAGTTCCGGATCACCTCGGTACCGGTTCTTCACCTGAGAGTAACGGTTCATAAATGATGGGTGTGTGACGGATGTTTCATGGATCCTGACAGGAGCGCAGCTGCAGTTACCCTCGGGTTCTGCGTCACTTCCACTACACGGTGTGGCCCGACCACGGCGTCCCGGAGAGCACCCAGTCCCTGATCCAGTTCGTCCGGACGGTCCGGGACTACGTGGACCGATCCCCGAGTACCGGAGCCACCGTCGTGCACTGCAGGTTTGACGCTCGTTTGCTGTTGATTAACTCAAATAATTCTGGACGTTAACCGGGATCTGTTCTTGTCTCAGCGCCGGAGTGGGTCGTACCGGGACCTTCATCGCTTTGGATCGGGTTCTGCAGCAGCTGGACTCTAAAGGAACCATCGACCTGTACGGCTCCGTGTTCGACCAGCGGCTGCACCGACAGCACATGGTCCAGACCGAGGTACCCTCCTCAGCACAAAACAGTCCCGTTCATGTCGTTTTAACCGGATCAGGTTCTGATCCGGTTCGTCGTGTGTTTCAGTGTCAGTACGCGTTCCTGCATCAGTGCGTCCGGGACGTCCTGAGGGCCCGGAAACATCGCAGCGAGCAGGAGAACCCCTTGTACCCCATCTATGAGAACTTCAACCCCGAGTACTGCCATGGTGAGCCCGCCCACTTCCTGTCGCTCAGAGAGCCACTTCCTGTCGCTCAGAGAGCCACTTCCTGTCGCTCAGAGAGCCACTTCCTGTCGCTCAGAGAGCCACTTCCTGTATTTTACCGGTGTAATATCTATTTGTGATTTTAATGCACGGACAGACGGTGTTGACAGCTTTTAAACTGTGATCGGATCTTTTTGCTTTGATCTTTAAGATTAAAGTTATAATTACGTGTCAGACTGAAATGAAACTTGATAAATGTTTAATTTTGAGTATTTGTATTTTCTCTGCACTTCTGGTTTCTGTACAGTTGGAGTTAATTAGTTAATTGTTAGCCTCCTTAACGAGCAGGTGTCCACCTGACAACGCCCACTTCCTGTAGCTCGTCGTAAACGTTAGATTAAACACTAAAGTGAAATATTTACTGAATCTGTTCAGGTCGAAGATTCTTCATCGGACGTTTGTTTTTCTCTCAGATTTCATCTACAGACGTTAAAGAACCAACAGGAAGTTCCTGTCAGAAGAACAGAGTCACTTCCTGTGAAGATCATCAGGAATGCTTTTGGTTTCGTATCAACATGGCCGCCATGGTTTCACTAATAATCTGAGTAAATCTCACCACATCGGTCCAAACCATCTGAACTGTCCCTTTAAGACGTACAGTGGACAGACGAGGACGTTGGATTAACTCAGGGACGTTCTGCAGCTCCAGACTTCGCCTCATGTTGATCTAAAATAATTCATAAATTTAATCTACCCTCTACATTAAATTAAAAACGAGACCGAGCAGCGTATTTATGATGAACTTGGACTCAGAGCTCCGTCCACATGTCATCTAGAAATCTGTTCTTGAAGCAGATTAGTAATTCGGCTGCTGGGATTAGGATTACAGTGCTACCAGAGATATTTGAAATTTAACTCCAACAATGAATAATGAATGGTGTTTTACCCTCAGCATTGAATCGGACCCGTCGGGTCCAACAGAACCAGACCTGAACCCGTTTCTACAAACGGTCAGTCTGAACACGTCTTGATCTATAAGCTGTTAATTTAAAGAATCACACGTTGCTGTATGTAAATATTGATGTAATCTCTATATCCATGGATTATATTTGGATCAGTTTATTTTTTATATCGACCTCCTTTTAATTCTAATTAATGTCACTTTTATACAAACGGTTTCCTCCTTTTCTAATAAAAAACTATCAGAAAATAACTGGCAGGATTTTTTAATTCAGATTAATATTCTGAGGGACTAAAATCAGTTTAAAGATTTTTAAAATCGTATCTACAGTAAAAATCTGTTCATTAAAGTTTTAAAGAGAAAACAAAATGTTTATTCTGTGTAATCTGACAAGAACTTCAGGATTTAATTGACATCAATCCCTCAGATTAAATTGTTTTGTAAACTGGATTATAACGAAATAATAAAAACAGCTGCCCTCAAACAGTCTGATTTATTGATTGATTGATTGATGAGTTGACAGTCGGTCCGGTCCTCTACTCTTCCTGGGTTATGATGGAATGAATGCTTGTCACCCGCCGTCAGAGGCATCATGTGATCTGTTAGCCCTCAGTCATGACTCTCAGCTACTACCATCTGTGAAACAGATGGATCCATTTTTGTGTTCGCTAAGGTTGCTTAGCTGTGGCGGCCATCTTGGATGGCTTTAAAGGTGTTTCTGAGGTTGATTAGATATTTTGCTAACAGTAAAATTTCCCTTCTTTGTTAATCTGCTGGAGAAAGATTATAATCAGATTTATTTTTGTTTCTAATGTATTGATTTGAACAGAAACCGTCTGATAAACGGTCCTGATCCGAACCAGAGTCTGGATCCAGGTTCCGATCCGAACCAGAGTCTGGATCCAGGTTCCGATCCGAACCAGAGTCTGGATCCAGGTTCCGATCCGAACCAGAGTCTGGATCCAGGGTCCTGACTCTATAAATCTTTAAAAACAGGATCCTCATTCAGGCAAATACACAAATCCAAATTAATGTTTAAGTTAAAAACAAAAAGTTTTTATCCTCTACAATATTTTAATCAACTTTGAATGCTCAAAGTTTTCGCATTTACAAAATATTTTAAATTACTTTTAATTCTGAATTTACTTTTAAAGAAACTATGTTCCTGCCCATGTCTGTGTTTATCTGTTAGTAAAATATCTCATGAATCTCTGATGTTCATCTACAACTGACAGCCTTGGAGTCAATCCAATTCAAGATGGCCGCCACAACTAATCTTCTTTCAGTTTTTCCCTCTTCAGGGGTCGTCCCAGCAGGTCCTCTGTCCTCACTCCACCTCCATGTACCTGTTCCCTGTTCTCACCACAGATCACATCATCTGCAAACATCATCGTCCACAGGGATTCCTGCCTGACCTCATCTGTCAGTCGGTCCATCACCAGAGCAAACAAGAAGGGGCTCAGAGCTGATCCTTGAGGCACTCCCACCTCCACTTTGAAGCTTTCTGTCATTCCTACGCCACATCTCACCACTGTCCTGCTGTCCTCATACGTGTCCTGCTGTCCTCATACATGTCCTACTGTCCTCATACATGTCCTACTGTCCTCATGCATGTCCTATTGTCCTCATGCATGTCCTCATACATGTCCTACTGTCCTCATACGTGTCCTCATACATGTCATACTGTCCTCATACATGTCCTGCTGTCCTCATACATGTCCTGCTGTCC